AAAGTTCGTTCAGGTTGACCAAGAAAATTAATTAAAAGAGAGGAAAAAGTTATTATCCGTGAAATAAAAAAAATCCTATTATATCTGTACCTATTTTTGCAAAAATATTTGTAACAAAAGATAATGTTTTTTGGGAAAAAGTGGTATTTTCTGATGAATCTAAATTCAATATTTTTAATTCGGATGGGCGATATTATGTATGGAGAAGACCAAATATAAAATTGGATATAAAAAATATATGCTCAATAATAAAACATATTGATTCAGTCATGGTGTGGAACTGTATGGCAGTTAATGGTACAGGAAATTTAATATTTATTGATGAAATACTTGATAAATATAAATATCTAGATATTTTAAAAAACAATCTCAAAAGTAATACGCAAAAATTGGTATTGTTAAAAGACTTTTATTTTCAACAGGATAATGATCTTAAACATACAGCACGGATCGTGAAAGAATGGATCGTATACAATATATCTCATATGTTAAATACCATATATGATTCTCATCGAAAATTTATGGGCTGAAATAGGCAAAAAATTAAATAAATTTCAAATATCTTCAAAGCAGATGTTTAAAAAAAAATTATAGAAATATGGAATTATATCAATTGTAATTTTCACTGGTATACAATACGGAACGTCGACTGAGACAAATTATTACCAGGTGGTCCAACAAAACATGAAGCGTTTGAATACCTTTGTAACCTAACGGTGCGTGTTTATAATAAATGTATTATAACTACTGCGAAAATTGGTGAATCATTTTCAAATTTTGCTGACATAATCTTAAAATTTTCTTCCTACTATACATCATTGTCTTAAACAAGTTCCTTTAACATATATATTTCGTTCATCAAAGATTGTAAATGTAAGCGTTCGAATATTTTCGTTAGCCACTGTATGTATATATCTTCCAAGTACTTTTCCGTACAATAACGAAAATATATTCAGTTATTCTGCAGAGAGTTATTTTGTAATAAAAGACTTTAGAATTTAAAGGATTAAAAATAATAAAGAATAAGAAAAATACGGTTATACATTTACTGTTACATAGAAATCTACCTGCCTAAGTACCTGCCAAGTATATCCTATATAATCTTATATATAATTCTTATGTATAGCTGAAAAATAAATTAATTTTGAATAAAGTTAAAGTTTAAATAATAAGTTTATTTAAAATATTCCAATGATATTTATTAACTTAACTCTTCGTATATTATTTACTTCATAATTAATTGTTTTTATATCATTTATAATTTTTAAAATAAAATTTATTTTATTTTATTACAGAATATCCTATATAGAAATATCCGTATATGAAGCATTGTATTTTATACCTAATTATATTTATAAATTATTATATTTATATTTTTATTTTATATTTTTATATATATTTATATATTTATATTTTTTATAATATGCATATTATAAAACCAAAAATGTATTGTCATAAAATTAAGACACTTCACTTAATTCTAATTTTAAAAGAGAAACGATAAAAATATAATTAATTGATGTATTAAATCTCACGTATTATATACGTATTATAAACAAGTATACACAAAGAGAATAAATAATAATAGAAAGAGAAAAATAGAAATAGAATAAGAATTTATTACTACCATTTCTTTCTGAATATTAAAAACATTTCTTCAAAGATGAATAAGATAAAATGAAAATTGAAGATTACTGCTATTTTAATGCTGAAGAGATTTTAAAAGAGATGGCGCTGGCATATAATTTTTGCTTTTACCCTTTTAATACATTCGCCACTACGTCACGCATAGGACGAGTATGCTTCCGTGAAGGCCACGTCATTCATATTTGAATGACATTCTTATTTAAGAAAAATAAAATTTTAACTTTGCACTTGTATTTATATTTAAGAAAATTATCAATCAAGTAATAAGAATCTTCTAGAATGTAATTATATTATATATAATTATATTATACATATATTTACTAATATTTACTAATATAAATACATATATTTATACATATATTTAATAATGTAAATATATATATTTATATATATATTTACCAATATAAATACTAATGTAAATATATGTATAATAATAAAATGTAAGAGCATAGCAATTATATGTCGACGTACGAGTGCAAAGGGAAAAGCGCAGTTTTAAAAGAAATTTAATGGAATAAGCATTGAAATATAAAATATACATTCATAGAATCATAGAATTTAAAATTTAAGAACAATAGAAAAGAGGATCACAAGTGTGATCTGTTAGCGAACCATTTTACATCTTTATACAATTTTAAATCTAAAATTATACCGTATGTGATAACATAGGAGGGTGTTATTACGATAATACAGAACTGAGTTGAAGTTGGATAGCCAATTAGAATCTTATATTCAAATCAAAATATTTAAGATTGACTTTGGAAAGTCTCCGAATGATTGAAATAAACGAAATAAGGAACGAAGAAGTAGAAGTAGAGGCATTGAGAACAATTAATTCAGAATCGGTATTACAGATGGTTAATGGAAAACTAAGAACTTATATATAAATATACTACTCCAACTAAATTTTATTTTAAAATATACAAAATAAAAATATTAAAACTACTTGAGTTTATCGCTCCGTTTACATTCTGGCTTTCCGACAATAACATTTGAGCCCCGTGAATTCAATTCAATTGAATCATGCTGGGCAACGAATATATTAAAGAATTATTTTTGTTACTCAAGAAGTGACGCTAATGATTGATTCTTAATTATAATTAATTCTATCTTTTTCCATTATTTTCTCTCTTTTTCTCTCGAATTAGTTTCATCATTATTCCAGAGATGGCGCTAGTTTCTAGATTTTTAACTTATTTCTATCTTTCATTATTTACTCTCTTTGTCTATACTTACTTTGTAAAATTTATTTTCTTCTTTGATCTTAATTTATCAATTAATTCTTTCTTCATTGATTTTATTGTTGAAAACTAAGCTTGAATATATTGTTAAAGACATATATAAATATATTAAGCTTGAAATATATTATTCGAATAATTTTTTCCTTTATATATAATTAACAAACGGCTTTGATTATTAAGTTAAAGCAAAAAACATTCTATTTTTTTTTCTTTTGATATATAAGTTAAAAACTGTGACGAGTAGCTATATATAAAAGAAAAAGTTATTCAAATAATATATTTCAAGCTTAATATATTGATATATGTCTTTAACAATATATTTCAAGCTAACTTTTTTTAAATATTTTTCTGTCAAATACGATATTATCGATTGACAGAAAAATCGATTATTTTTATATTTGTATATTTAGACCAAGTATGTATTATGAGGTAATTGCAAAAAAATCAAATGCTTTAATCAAATATAACAAAAATTAATATATAATATATAGGTAATTGTGATATAGAATTTTTTTTCTTTTTTTAGTAAATCATTTATAGAAATGTTACTATAGTTGACTAAATCGATAATAATTCCTGTTTTAGATCATATGTATACGTGCACCTTCTTCATCACCTAGGCAATAAATAAACATGAAATGGAATCGATCTAATCAATCGTAGTTGAATTATCATTCTTAACTTCTAGAATTGTTTGTAAAAATTGTAAGAAACAACTTGTTCAGCGATATGTCTGATTTAGCTAAAGATTTATTAATACAATATTATGGGTTTGGTGCAGCATCGAGTGGTAAAAAGTTTCTCTCGATACATCGCAATATCGAAAGGGTAAAAGACGAAGACGAAAAACAGGTTACTGAGCAACATTCTTTAACCACCAATGATGAGAATGTGGCCAATGAAGAGTTTCAGGTAATCAAAATTGAATATTTTATCTGTGCATTTATTTATAAAATATTGATAATTCTGTTCCTTTTATTTTGATGAAATATTTTTTTGTATAATTTTTTATAGAATTAATAATCATTCATCGATCAAAAATAGATTTATTTCATTTTTATTTAATATAAATTATATCTATTATATATTCTAATATCTTTTTTTTTATTCTGGAGACATTTATAATATTTTAACTATAATTAATAATACATTTCTAAATATTATCTATTATAATACTATAATAAATTTTCATTTTTACAATTTTACAATTAAATTATCTTTTCTTCTTCTACAACTAATAATCATTTATATGTTCAAGAGATGGAATCATTGTTTTTTATTTATTTCTTTAAATATATTATATATTTTAATATGGATACACTGTGAAAATATTTCATAATTTTTAATACAATTTTCATAATAAAGAAAGACATTGAGGAGGATCGAAAACTTAGTATTGGAGACAATTTGTATCCACAATCCTCGCAAGTTTTAGATAACTTGGAAGATACATATGACAATAATGAAAATTTCGACATAAAAGATATCGACTTTGGTCCGAATATTCTTTGTAACACTCTCGAGAATGTATCATCTAAACAACCATATGAACAATTATCTGATATATCAGATATACATTTACCTGAGCAATCAACAAATGATGTTTCTTCAAATTATATTAAAATAAATATTGAAAATCCAGGTATTAATACTTATATCAAATATTCTATATTTAACTTAAAAAAAATTATATCTTTTATTATTATCGTAGAAATAGAAATAAAAGATGACATGAAAGATGCAAAGAAAGATGAATTGGAACTTATCGAAGACACATTTTCTGACGAAGTTTCAGAATATTCTTCCTTGTCATGTAAAGAATCAAAAACATTTTTGAAGAGTAATATAAGTTTAACGTCAAATGAATCTATTTCATCGCCATTAGTACCAAAAAAGGAACCTATTTACAATGACATGTTTGCAGATTTTTCAAATACAGATTTAAAACAATTTCCTATTGCGATATTAAACAACTTTTCACAATTAAGGGTAGCTTAATTTTTTCAAGTAATTGCACTAAAATATTAGCAAAACAATTAGTATAAGCTTCTTTGATATATATATATATAATTTTAAATTTTGAATATATTTTTATTGTTTTTAGATGTTATATTTGTCAAACAACAATTTGATCGAAGTTCCTAATGAAATTTTCACTTGTTTAAACTATCTACAGTGGTTAGACATCAGAATAATCAAATTACTTTTTTGCCAGTTAGCATTAAATGGCATAGCTGCTTAGAAACGATTTTACTTCAAGGAAATAAAATGAAGGAATTACCATTGGAACTTTGTTAAGTTTAAATTATAAATCTTATTAATTATATTATTTATTTACAATTTTTGTATCTTTTAAATAATATATATTAATGATTTTATAATAATATAATATGCAGTAATTTTATAATAATATACGAGACATAGAATTAAATTATATTGTAAATGTAGATATTAAGAATATCTAATATGTGATAAAGATAGTTATAAAATTAACTGTAATATATTTAAAATTATTACATTAACGATATATTCATTTTTCTGAAAATAATTTATTGTGTAAAAAATTTAAAACACGAAAATACTTAATCTTGTTTTAGGCACCCTATCAAATCTAAAAAATCTTCAAATAGCGGATAATCCACTTATCATGCCACCGCAAGATATCGTAGCTTCCGGTTGTGCTACCATTTTGGAATTCTTACGAATTGAATGGAATAAATTATATCCTGATGAATGGATAGAACCCAGAAAAAGTAAATAATTTTAGTTTTGTGAAAGAATTCATATAAATAAATTTACAATTATTTAATATTTAAAAAGAAATGAATATTTTTGAGAAGAATATAGGAATTTATTGTAACTTTAAGCTTCATTAAGTAATATAATTTATTGATTTTTTTAAATATGTAACATACAATATATATTTAAATAGATAATTAATAGTGATACAAGAATTGATTTAAGAAAGGATATAAGAAAAGATTCATTTTTAATATTTTTTAATTTGCAATAGAAAATAAAACGAATAAATATTAAATAAAAAATAAAATAAATTAAAAAAACGATATTTAAAATATTTTTATTTGTTATTTCAGATAAAATTGAACCAAAATTATCAACAATTCTATGTTATCAATCTCCACGAAAAAATAAAAAGAAAATAACATCATTGAAGGATACCATGTATAATAGAAATATAGCTATAAGCGAAAAACGTAAATTATATAAGCCAAGTAGCAGGTACTACGATAAAAAATTAACATCTATGAATGATAATTGTTCTTTAAAAAAAGAATTCAAAGAATCTTTTTTTAACTTTTATTTGCAAAAAATAACTAATTTCAAAATCAATAAAAAATTGAAATATAATTGTGAAAAGACAAAATGCGATAATTTCAAAATTATAAATAGTTTTAACAATAAAGCAGATGATTATATTGATGTAATGATAAATAATAATAAAATTTTACGTTTGATGGGCTCATCTCCAAGATCTCTGTATGTTAGAAAAAATGTAAAAATTTTGAAAACTTATAGTAAATCAACAGAGAGAGAATGTAAACAGATTAATAGAATGAAAATACCTGTTCTTGCGCAAATAAATAATATTTCATTCAGAAAAAACAAAAAAAAATATATAAAAGATGATATAGAAAATATTGAACATATTTTCGATATTGTTACTAATGATGGAAAAAAATTTAATTAAATCCTATGAAATTAAACGATTCAAATTGGATACTTTCATATTTGGAAAATTATTTAGGGCTAAATAAATAATTAGATTATGTATCTAAAAAATAAAAATAAAGATAAAGCATGTCATGAAAAATATAGAAATATAGAAATAAATAATAAATAAGAAATTAAAAATAATAATAAATTTGTTTAATATTATTATTTTACTTTTAATTAATATCCATTTTTTAATAATTTTTTAAATTAAATTTCTATAGTTTATATATTATATTGTAGTCGTATAATATGTATATTTAGCATTTTTATGATTAATTTTGATTTTTAATTCGTTTAGATGTGAAAATAAAGGTGCAAATATTATAATGGAACATCGATTATTATGGTTTTCCAAGTTAAGAGATATAATTGCTAAACAAACTGCAACAATCCAAAAAATAAAGTAAGATATGATATATTTTTTTCTTAATTTTAATAATTAATTATTAACCTTCTTAAATTTGCTATTATCTTATTACTTTAGAGATGAAAATTTTTTAAAAGAATGGAGGCGGGATAAAAGAAGTTATACCAAAGCTATGCAGAAGGCAATGAAGAGAAACGAAGGTATATATTATAAAATGAATGTTATTATTTTATTATTTTTATATTAAATAATATATTTATTTAATAGATGATATTCCATTTGATATTGATGTTGAAGATTATGCTTCTATATTCAAACAAAATTCTAAATTGGTGAGATAGGATTTTTACCTCTTTTTATTCTCTTTTTCTACAAAGTTTTACAAAAATTTTATTGAAAATCTATTAATTTAAATTATAGAAAAACTTGAGGTCAAAGAAAAAAGACAAACAAAGATTTTCATCGCCTATGTAAGTAAAAAAATTTATATTTATAAAATTATAAATTATAAAATATTTTATAATTTATGAGATAATATTATATAAAAAATATTATATAAAATTAAATAAAAACTTTGCAGAGATATTAACAAGAAAATTAACGAATTGTTAGAATCCTTAAATAAACTGGAAATAAATACTACGTGTGAAATAAGTCCTAGAACTAAACAGAACTTGTATAAAAATGAAATAGAAAAGGTACTTAGATTATTTTTTTATATTAAAATTTTAATAATCAAGAGGAAAATACGTTCTTGTTAAATGGTATTGAATCTCATGCATTTTCTTTGAAATTTCAGATATTACAATTTCAAAACGAAATTCAGAATTTGCGAAAATACAATGAAGTCAATGAACCATATAAAGTATCATCGCAAAATTAAAATTGCAATGATATCAATATCGATATCTTTCCGATTACACCAGGGGTATCAGTCTTGACATGTTTATTTAAATAAATCAATAGTAATCACATATCGTTTCAATAATATTAATTACACATTCAGTACTTAATATACGACGAGACAACTGGAAATATTATTGTACGCACATCGTTTCTTTTTATTATTTAAAAAATATCAAAAAGAGAAAACACGTATTAAAAAAGTTATCTATTATAAAAAAGTTATGCATTCGAAAAATGATTTGTATTAAATACAGAACTTTTATGTAAGAATGTGCAACATATTTTGTGTGGCAAAAAAGTACATATAATTAATAAATCATAATATAATATATAAAAATAAAAAAAGAAAGTGACAAAATATATAAAACATTTTTACTTTCCAGCCTTCCCGTCTACACAACCCTTTTTTCTTTGCTGTTTTTGATGTAAGATCGTCGCAAAAATATATGGCGAATATAAAAATTCTACAAATTGGATAATCCGAATTAAAATAGATTTGATAATTACGAGAACAATTTGCATGTTGATCGAAACTTTTTTTTTTCTTTCTTATACATGGCACCAAATATTTGATTCATTCCATATTTAAAGTCGACACTCTTAGTCCATGATACAATTGTTTTTTAGTACTGTGATCAATAATAATTATAAGGCAAATATCTAAGATTTTTATATTTATTTGAATTTCTTTTCGCGTTATGTATCTATATGTAAATTTACCTTATTCGGTAATTACTTTCTATCTTGACTCTGTACATTTGATACATTGACGCATACAATGCGATACGAACAACTAGCTTGTTAATTTATAACTAATAATATAAGGACTTAACCATTATTACTAATTGTTAGTGTTGAATACGCATTATTTGTTTTCTTTTGAATATAAATAATTTTTATGTATTTATAAATGAATCGGTTATTTGCAATAGGATAGAAACTTATTATCATTAATAAAGTAAGCAACAATATAAAACATAACATGTACGTTTCGAATGTTTTTGTGATAAAATTAGATTAGCAAATAGTTAGTTGTTTCCGGACGTGTGAGCACTAATGAAATAATCAACATTTTCTAAACAATTCTATATATATATATATATATATATATATATGTATCACACGTTTCGTGGCACACATACACGCGTATTATATAATACGATTGTAGAGCCAATTAGGAATCATTAATTATACCGACATTCATATAAACAAGAATAACATTAATTAGGATGGATATATTAAACATAAAAAGGCCTCGCGATAGGCATATTAAATATTAATTATGTACATATTTCGAAGAGAACATTTTGTGATTGGGCAGTACAATACCTATAGATTAGGTGATTTTCTTAGAAACGCGAATCCAATGTTAAAACTAGTTTTTGTATTATTTTTTTTTTTTTTATTAGTGTTTCAGTAAAAGCGAACCGATCGAAGTTTTTCTATCTTTGACTCACAGTTTTTTCGCCATTTGCGTGTGTAGTTTTTATAAGAAAATATTTTTCAATGTTAAAAAGCTTCGATTAATTCATTAATTGAACACACATACTGGTATTTTCTTTTTTTTCATCGTACATCATTCATCACGTATATACATTCTTCAAACTTTAAAAAAAATTTCCTATTAACATACAAGCATACTGGATATACTGAAATCTCATAGCGATGTACAACATAAATATAAAATTAACATATTTTCCTTTACTATTTGTTTCTTGTTTATCTCATTTAAAGTTTACTATTGCACGTTTTACACTTTCTTTTTCATATTCTCCCCACTCAATACAACATATATTTTGTTGTATATACATTGCATGCGCATATATTTTTAAACACATTTGGATGAGTTTCGTTTTCTTTTGTTTACGATTTAAAAAAACAGAATTTCATAAGATTTTTAAAAAAGAATTACAAGTTACTAAAAGTTACATAATATAAAATCTGTCTGTTATTCTCTTCCATTCCTAAGAATGTATTTTTATCGAATTCTGTCCGTTGTACGAAAACTCACAATAAAGACAGAAAGCTTTTCCAAATTGTTAGATAATAAATAGATTTCTACGTTATTCGAAACTTTGTTTCAAAATCGTAGAATCTTTCTTCGAAGATGGTCCAAGCAGATACACTTTATTCACAAAAATCACTGGTGTACTCACTCTTTGTTAGAAACTTCTACACATGGTTTTGATTCCGGGATGTTCTTCATGTGCTGGATTTAAATCAACGAAACCAAGTTTACTATAAAATTCGTGAGATTCTTTGTCAGTGCATGACATTGTTGTATGCACACCAAATGAACCTAAATAAATTTTTTTTATAAAATATATTATTCCACAAATAATAATATATAAAACTATATAAAGTTATTTACCATTTGCTCTTAGAGCCGCAAGAATACATGTAATTAATCTTTTAGGGACAGATTGGTCCGTTACACTTGGTAATACAGCGCATAATAATTTCGATGGATGTTGTCTACATAATTGATCAGACACATCCGGAACAAATGAATGGAAATAACGTATGGCATCCTAGAATTTAACATTAAATTAATAGATTGTTGATTAATAGATAATTTACAATATTTAAATAATTAAATTATAAAAAAATACCTGAACATTTTGTGATAAGTCATTGATATTGTCATCCAAAGGATATTTCATTCGCAACTCAGGAATCCAAGAAACTGCTAATTTCTGATAATATGATTTTACATTTAAGGCAGCCAATGCATAACCTACTATTCCACTCTCATCTTCAACTATCATACACAGCTCTGGACTTAAAGTTAGGAAACCTCCAACTAATCTGTTATCAAAATTCAATATTTACAATTCCGTATTTTAAAAAAATATTATTCTTATAATAAAAATATCATTTTTACCGATCTGCAATGGCAGATGATGTTACACAATTGCAAATTTTATTGCATACAGCATAAACTGCATCTTCGTCACTTGCTAAATAAGGCCTAATTGTATAGATTTTACTACTGGGCACTTCTGGTGCTTTATAAACAAATAAATCATTTCCACTATCTACTGGAATTAATCTCTGCAAAATAAAATTAATATTAATTTTCTTTGTCTTTTCTTCTTTTTTTTATTAACATAATCATAATTTCTTCTAATATGTTTATATTAATTTTTTTTTTATTAAATATACCTGTAGATCAGCCGTAAGTCCTCCACGGAATACCCATGGCTCTTGATCTCCACTCATAAAAGTTTCTTTCCAACCATTCGAGAACCCTATCCCAAGACACAAGTTTTAATAAAGTAAAATACGAAATATTATGTACGCGCGATTATGCAATTTTTTTTTAAATTTATGAAATGGCCTCCACTGCTCTGAATACTAATTTTGCTTAAAATTTGTAACATGCATATAATAAATTTCGATCAATGGTGTTCTAAGTTTCCTTAAATAATATTAAATAAATAAAATTAATATTGTTCATATTATTATATCATTATATTATTTAAAAATTCAAAAGAATTGTATTTGTGAAATAAAGAAATCCATTAATCGAATACAAAAACTACGGTGCACCATTTCATTAATGAATGAAATTATATATAACTTAATCATGTTTAAATTGATTATTTATACATTCATTAAACAATTTTTAAATAAAAAGAGAAAAAATTCATGAGGTATTTTGGGAAATAAATGTCGTTAAAGGAAGATTATATTTATATATGTTTCAACTATAGAAGATCATATATAGTTTAAACCAATTATGATCAGAGTAAAAATATAATAATAAAGGAATTAAAAATTGAAGAATGTTGCACCAAAGTTCGCGCAATGACAAATTCCTGAGATAAGGAAAAGGAAATGGGATTAGGAAAATGGTAATCCAGTTTGCCAAAATGCGCCTGAAATAAAACTCCTATTACTCCTGAAAAGAAGCAGTTTCTGGAACTAAAAGAAATTAGTACAGGCAAGTTGGCAAAAGGAGGATGTATTCCTGGTCATTCACAATTTACAAAAGATGCCTTTCATAAACGCAATAAAAATTTTTTTAATAAATTTTATCAAATTTTATAAAAAATAAATATCTTTAAAAATTCTAAAAAATAAAATAGAAGCATGGAAGATACAACTTTGGTTGATTGTGTTTAACCAGTATAATTCTCAGGAAAAGCTTTCAACATTTTATGAAATTCTCCTAACTTCGCCAATTTTGTAAAAATTTTAGATGGACTTACTTCACATGCAAAAATTATTACCATGTAAAATTTTTTGAAAAAGTTATTTTTGCAAATAAAATGAAATTTGCATTATTATAATTTTAAAATATATTTGATATGAATATATCAATGAATTAAAGTGCAATTACAGACACAAATGCCAAAAATAAAATAAAAATTGAACAATATTAGCAAAAAAATATTTTACAAAAACTTTAATAAATGTTTTGTGTGAATTTTTGCAAAATAAAAAAGTATGTCCATCACGTATCAAACTACGTTAATATTATAAATATTTGTGTTGAATACATATAGATTCTTCAAGGCATCAGAAGGCTGCTTCTACGCGCAAATCTCTTGCTTATATTAATTATAATGTTCTTTTACAAAGCTTCAAACGCGAATTGAAATTCTGTTATAATTTTCACCGGTTTGAAGCTTTGCTAGTCGCGCGCTTTTTGTTGGATTACTCAGACTGGTGAATCGCATACATGTGTAGCTTCCCTGGGTAAACGTTGTCATCGTCGATGGGAATCTGCCAAACGCTATCAACAAGACAAAAAACACAGAAACGCACGTTAGTCAGTGAATTAAAGCTGAATTGTTCCTCATACATTTATATTGCTGACAGAAATTATTGGCTGCAAGTATTATCTTTATCTCTTGTATAATATATGTTATCATATTGAAATGTATAAATTACTTGTGAAGAATGAATGCAACAAATAAATTTCTGCCAAACATTATCTGTGAAAGAAAGTCAGCCAATATGTTAATAGCTGGCACAAGGTTATTTAAAACATGGTATTTGTTCAGGTCCACATAGATGCTGTTAAATAATTTCCCAGAAAGTGTTTGCTATGAAAAATCTTTCCGCCGAATATTCCGCTAGAAAGTCACATCAATTCTTTGTTTTCATTATTTATTTTATTATGATAAAAAAAATAAGACTTATATAATATTTAAATCACGATATGAAAATTATATAAAATCAAAGAAAAAATGAGAAATGCTGTGACATTCTTTATTTGCTAATAAATGTATAAATTTATAGGAAGCCGTTAGTCGATAAATAAGAAAATTATTTTATAAAAAGTTAGATGTAATTGAAAATAAAGAAATTTATTTTAATTACTA